CTCTACACTAAATCAAGAAAAATTAGCCATGCATGGTGGCACACGCCTGTAGTTCCAGCTACTTGGAAGGCTGAGGCAGAAGGATCGCCTGAGTCCAGCAGGTCGAAGCTGCAGTGGCTGTGAGAGTGCAACTGCACTCCAGCCTGGGTAACAGAGTGAGACTCCAACTCAAACAAACAAAAAAGAAATAATCAAATATAACCATAATCTTAATAATTCACAATATATAGGAAGATAATATTTTGAAGATGTCAATTCTTTCCCCAAAATCGGTCTACAGAGTGAATGCATTTCTAATCATAATTACATCAAGACTTTTTCTTAGAAACTGACAAGTTCATCTAAAATGTATATTAAAAGACACTCTAAAGCTAAAGTAGAGGAACTTGCCTAAGTGGATGGCAAGACATAATGAAACTATAATGGTCTGGACAGGATGGTACTGGCACAAAGAAAACTTGGAAGAGAACAATGAGTTTAGAAACACATTTGTGCCCTGTAGAACCTTGATATATGCCAACCAGAGATGGCTTTGCAAGTTACTGGAGAAAGGATTCTAGTCAATAAATGTTATTTATACATTTAATAAATAAATGTTAATTAGACAACTGGCTGGTCATTTGGAAAACAAGGACGTGGATTTCTAGTTCATACCAGACAAAAGCCAATTCCATATGAAACTAAACCAGAGAATTTTGAATGTTCACAACACAAAGAAATGATAAGGCCTCGAAAATGGGGTATGTTAATCACCCCAATTTTATCATTACGCATTAAATACATATCAAAATGTCACTCTGGATCCCATAAATTTGTACAATTATTACATATCAACTAAAAATAAAAGCAGGAAAAAATTCTGTATGGTTGACACTGGGGTAGCCATGAGTGTGCCACTGCACTCCAGCCTAGGTGAAAGTGAGACTCCAACTCAAAAAAAAAAAAAAAAAAAAAGTAAGAAAGTGAAAAGATCTTGGACTGGATCCTGGATTAGGGGAAATAACTGCTTTACAGGGCTTTACTGGAACAACTGGTGAAATTTTGATAAGGACTATATATTAGCTATTAGTAGTGTATCAGTGTTAAACTACCTACTTTGAACATTGTTCTGTGGGTGCATAAAAGAATATCTTTGTCTTTGGCGATACATGCTAACTTACTCTCAAATGGTTCAGAAAAAAATAGATAATAACATATATAAAATCTCCTTTATACACAAATATAGCAAACTATGAACCTATGTGAAGGGTATACAGGAGTTCATTGTATTAGTTCTGAAACTTTTCTATAAGTTTGATTTTTTTAAAAAATGGCAAAATTCTGAAAAATTGAAAGCACACTATCAACAGGAAGAAGATATTTGCAACACATACAATTGTCAAAGGATTGGTACCAATTATTCATAAGTGTATACACACACACACATATATATAGATACACACACCCCCCCTTAGAGGAGAAAGAAAAAACATGAATGAACAATCAGCATATTTAAAATGCTCGACTCTATCCATAATTAGAGAATGCAAATTAAGACCATAATGTGGGATCTTATTTTCTGTAGTCTTGTAAAAACTAAGAAGTGTGACAATAATAAGGATTGGAGAGAATGTGGAATGCCTGAGCTGATCAGTGCCAGTGGCAGTCAGTACACATTGGTACAACTACTTTGGAAACATATCCATGTTATCTTTTAAAGCTGAACAGCCCTAAAGCCTCTGATGCAGTAGTGCTACTCCTAGGTTCAAATGAGACTCAGGCACATGTATAGAAGGTGAACAAGAATGCTCCTGCCAGCCTTGTTAGTAATTATCAGGGTCAGATTCAGGTTTTGTGGGTCATGAGCTTATATAATTGGAGAAGTGGGGAGGCATTTAAAGAAAAAGATACAGAACTATGAATAAAATTAGGTTCAAAACTGAAAATTTATTTATAATGGGAAAATAAATCACAACAAATTGCAAATGTCACAAAACCCAGGAAAGAATTCTATCATAGGTTTGTGACCTACAAACTCAGGAAGTCTGATAAAATTCATTTGTGAGGTTCCCATCAATGAAGAAAATATGTCAAATGCATTTATAATCATATCCACTGCAGTACTGAATACATTCCTGATAGGAGAAAACTTCCTTTTGACTAGGTAGTAAAAAAATGTTAGGCAACCCCGTCAGGTCCCCTCCCGCTCTGGGAACTTTTCTGTTCTCTCAATAATTCCTGTTTTCTTAAAAAAAAAAAAAAAAAGTTCTAATATTACACTTAATAACTTGAATGAATCAAAAAAGCAGATGTTGAATGATAAAGGCAGATCTAAGAAGGTTGCATATACTATGTTTATAAAGCTCAAAAAGAAAAACAAACCAATATATTGTTAGGGTTACATCCAAATATTATAAAACCACTAATAATGACAAGGAGAGACAAAATTCAGGATAGCAGTGGTGGTAGAAGAGGCAAGGGGTAGAACCCTGAAGACGCATGGATATATGCTATATACTGATAATACGGAGTCAGGTTTATTAGTGTGCTTTAAATTTTACATATTTTTAAAAATATACTATTTTGTGAGCATCAAGTATTAGGTTACGATATATCTTTAAATAGTTGAGGCACCTGAAAGTATTTTCTAAGTCATTAACCGGAGCTTCCCTTCCTCCCCCACTACTCTCTCCTCTCCTCCTCCCCTCCCCCCAACTTGGAAACTACGAGCTGCTTGGGTGGGACACGTGGCTCCAGAGGCTGGCAAAGCAGGGAAATGGTAAGTCACAGGGCCCGAGAACCGTGATTTGTGTTTTCTTTTTGGTGTTAGGGTGGGGTGTGGCAGGATGAAACTACTATCCGCTGTATCAAATACGCCACATTAAACGTACTCCGTTTAATTTTGAGTTATTCTACCTCGCTAAACGCAAAATAGGGTTTTCGGTCCCCAATTCTATTTCGGGTAAAACGTCCCTCCCTCTGACACTCAAACTTCCCACTTTCTAAGTGTGCCAAGTCCCCACGCCAGCCTCTTGCGTCTTTCCGGACTCTTTCTTACCAGTCCCAGCCCACTCGATTACGCAACTGACTCCAAGAGGCTCACCAAATGTGCCCCTGGGTACAGAACCCGCACAGCCGCAGTCTGGCTCCGAGATTTACCACCAGCCAGGAGCCGGGCAGGGGGCGTGGCAAGTGCGCCGAGCTCCCGGGCTCCGCCCCTCCCGCCCCCTCCCAACCTCGCCGCTCCCAGCCAGGCTCCACTTCCCGCGGTGGCTCCGCCTCCTCGCCGTGCCGAGGGCGCGCCGCCACCCGGTTCCAAAACCCGGAGAAGTGGATTCTGCGCTCCGCACCGGCCCTTGCAGGCCGCAGTCCGAACGGGCTGGTCTGGACTTTTCCGCCAGAAGCCCAGGCCAGAGCCTGGAAGGGGCAGCGGCCCCGAGCGGGAG